AGCTCAAGTCTTGTTACGAGAGCTCAAGTCTTGTTACGAGAGCTCAAGTCTTGTTACGAGAGCTCAAGTCTTGTTACGAGAGCTCAAGTCTTGTTACGAGAGTTCAAGCAGACCTGCTTTGGGAAAGAGGCAGCATTGCGCAATGTTTTTGTTTTGTTTTTTTGCTGAATTATAATTTCCTGTCCTATTCTGGCTGGTGATGGCTAGCCTATTGCAAGTTTTCTGACGTCATCGGCTGCTGGCAGCCGACTGTGATTCTGTACCCGTCTTGATCTATTTTTGTATCTGTACCAGTTGTCATTTTCTTAACTCTCTCCATCTTTTCATAGGTCTCCTCTCTTTTTGGCACTAGTTACTAACAGTACGCTGATTTTTCATTGAGCCCGCTGTTTTGTTCTTCAGACCTGGAAGCTCCCCCCACCCAACACACACTACACACGAGTGTCTTCTCTCCGGCACAGCTTGCCCCGTACCGTACATACGCTATCTTCCTGTTGTTCTTCATTGCCCCTGGTCCAACCTGGGCCATGGTAACTCAGCGTATTGCCCCTGGTCCAACCTGGACCATGGTAACTCAGCGTACTGCCCCTGGTCCAACCTGGGCCATGGTAACTCAGCGTATTGCCCCTGGTCCAACCTGGGCCATGGTAACTCAGCGTATTGCCCCTGGTCCAACCTGGACCATGGTAACTCAGCGTACTGCCCCTGGTCCAACCTGGGCCATGGTAACTCAGTGTATTGCCCCTGGTCCAACCTGGGCCATGGTAACTCAGCGTATTGCCCCTGGTCCAACCTGGGCCATGGTAACTCAGCGTACTGCCCCTGGTCCAACCTGGGCCATGGTAACTCAGCGTATTGCACTGGCCTGGTCAACCTGGGCCATGGTAACACAGCTCAGCGTCTTACGAGTTGTTTTGTCGCAACTTTTGTGGGCACAGCAGGAAGTAGTAAAATACCGCTTTACTACGTCCTGCTTTTTATGCTAGTACCCCTTTTTGAATGCGGTTTTTAATAGGTCCTAAAAGGAATACTGTCCATGTACTTCATTTTCACTCATTCAACGTCACGAGAGGTCTGTCATATCGTCACTAGCTGCGCATGGTTGGTGGCAGGGAAGTAGTAAAATTATACCTGCAAGTACCATAATGTTACTACTCCCCCTGCTTGGGGGGTGTGTTGTTGCATGTCGACGGGCTTGTAGATCTAGCCATACCAAGCCGGGTAATACTTGGAAATTCTCAGTGTTGAATTTCTACAGGCTGAAGATACCTAGAAAAGCTCGATTCGCCGCCACGGAAAATATAAAAAAGTCTTGATATTTGGGGTGCTGGCGCTTCGGCTGATACCAGTGCATGTACTGCATAATTTGCATGCATGATGTTGACACTGGCAGTTGGCTTGTATAATTAATTTTCTATCTCACCACATGATGCACGTAGGCATTTCTAGCCTTTTTCTGCCCAGAATTCACACTATCTACCGGCAGCCAATGCCCTGTACCTGATGCCAGCTCTTCTGTTGCAGTCTACACTGTAAAACCAGAAAATTTCGGTGGAGATTTCGGTAACTTCGGTACAGGTGTAGCGGCCTGACTCCAAACTATTACGTCACTGCATACATAAGCATGCACAAGAAATAAAATCATTCTTTTTGGCCTCAACTTCTTTGTTGTCCGGTTGGCCATTGTAGACATCGTCTAGGGCCCGACGTTAAACCCTAAATTGGTGACCACGAGGCAATTTTTACCTATAATAAAACGCAACCTAAAATTCAACAAAGCCATGCCACGCAGCTACAGTGTGCAAAATGCATTTTTGGATCAGGAAAAGTGGTTTACCAAAATGTTCGCGCTACCGAATCTTTAATTTTGGGAAGTACTGAAAATTCCCGGTTTTACAGTATACCGGTATCTCTAGGTCACAACTTGCAAGTCTACCTTATCGAGACTCGAGCTGAACAACAGAACGCAAAATCATGTGCACAAATGCTAAAAGTGTAAACATGTTTTGGACAAAGGTTGAACACAAAATGATTTTAATGTGGCAATAATTCACTTGTTATCAAGAAACCAACCCTAGGTAATAATTAAAAAAAATTAAAAAAAATGAAGTTTCGCGCGAGTTCTTCTAACTGAATGCTCGCTATGCACACTCAGGAACGCCCACTGCCGTCAGGGATCAAGGAGTAGAGAGAACGATATAATATAGACTGGATAAGGACTAAGTTAACAGTAGCAGCACAGGTTGGGGTAGAGTCAACGTTTCAGAAGTTCTAGTATTTTTTAATTGAAGTTGATAATAGCACATACCGTAGTAGATCAATAATAAGCAATCCTTTGTACTGTACATGGAAGCATGGATGCAGCGAATTGGATTTTCCGTCTTTGACCACTTGTCTTCGTGGTGGGTCTGATCTACTCCCCACCGCTTTAGGAGCTATTCGATAAGATAAATATTTTGGTTTTTTTTCCGGCGCGTCACGTCATGTCACAGCGCGAATCACGTCAAACGTCCTGTACGTGTTGCTATGTTACTGTACGTGTTGCTATGTTACTGTACATGTACAATATAGCTATTTTAAATCGGTTTCTTTCTTGGTCACTGTTACAGCCTAGTTACAGCCTTGTTACCGTATGCATCTACTTGCAGTGCAGCAGCAGTGGTCCTGTGCTTGCCGCAATAACGTACAGCGATGGCTTTACCGCGCACGCGTGCACGATCTAGATTGGCGGGAGTGGCATTGACGAGGCGTCGTGCGTACGTGAACTGCGACAGCGGTTGTCCTGTGTGCGTCACTCTACAGCGTGCTCTAACGCACACGCACGCACACACATACAGATCGGTGGTGCGAGTGGTGGCATTCGCAAGGCGTCGCGTGTACTTGAACTACAAGACTAGTGGTTCTGACTAGTGTACGTTGTCCCTACATTAGCTTGCACTAACACGCGCACACCTACAGATCGGTGGCGCGAGTGGTGGCATTGGCCAGACGGCGGAGTCATCGTCGCTGGATGACCGAGAGAAGGCCGAAGAAGACAGCTGTGAAGGCGGGTATCCGGACACCAGATAAGCACGAGAAAGCAGTCGGGCTATTCCGACATATCGTGCATACAATATCCCGTGTTTGCGTGCGTCGGCGGTGGTGATGGTGGTGGACGTGGTGGTGGAGGTGGTGGAGGTGGTGCACAAAGCATCTTGTGCAGCGGAAACAGCAAAGCATCCCAGTGCACACCTATGAACAACACACACACACACACACACACACACACACACACACACACACACACACACACACACACACGCACACACAGATACACACGCACGCACACACTCGTGCGCACACACACACACACACACACACACACATACACCATTTGACCATCACACACACACACAAACACACGCGCGCGCGCGCGCGTGCGGAAACACACGCACGTACACACACACACACACCTGCATGGACGAAATCGTGACGCGGCGTGCACGCGCCGGAATAACACACGCTGTCCGTCGTCATGGCCTAGTCAATAACCTCACTGATTCTTAACGCAACACAACACTACGCCAATCCTGCAGGACCCACGTGGAAAGACTTTGGCGGAGCCTTCCACGGAGCATCTACTGACCCTAGCGTGCATGTAAGCACGTCTGCATGAGCGCTTGGAGTACAAGTACAGCTTACGTTACGTGCACCGGTTGCGAGACGACCAGCGACTGTTGAGCTTTGCCTGCGCGAGCCATTTGAACGCGCTCTCCCGTTGCACCGGGACGCTCAGCTTGACCGGGTGGACGAAGATGAATCGGCCGGATTTCCAGCTGGTCGCGACTTCGTTGAAGCGCTCGTCTGGATTCTTGGCCCATGAGTAGAATGCTGCCGGAACCTCCATGTTGGATCGGCCCGGTGCCAACAGGAGAAACATCGTCGGAACAGCAAACTCAAAGAATATGTCGTGGAAGAAGAGCGACGTGAGCAGGAACTCGGAGACCTTGGCTCTGGGCACATAGCCGACATCTGACGGGCCCTTAAGGAAGCAGTCCTCGCAGCGCAGCGCGTTGCGCGAGCGTTTCCGATACGGCGCGGGCAGGCGCGCCAGGGCCAGCCGTGCGGCCGTGCGTCCCTCCGCGCCCGTGTCCTCCTTGCTGCTGCGCTCACCGTTCCGCAGCAGCCCGTCCCAGTGCTCGTGGTGCGTGCACGCCGGCTTCGTGCCGTCCTCCACGCAGTACACGCTGTCGTCATAGCCGGCTAGCCACAGCTGATCCATGTTCAGCGTCGACAGCATCTTGTACGGGTCCAGCAGCACGTCATCGCCCGTCCATAGATACCCGTCGTAACCAGGGTACATGAGCATGGCCGCTGACACGGCCCGGTGCTGAAAGTAGCCTTTCTCCAGCGCCACAGCATGCACGTCAAGCGCCTCGTCGCTTTCATCGGCAAAGAACACCACCTTGGAGAACGTGTCACCGTACATATCGCGTAGCATGGGCACGTTCTTGAAGTACGGGAAGTTGAAAATCACCACCAGCAGGATTCCTTTGCAAGCCTTCTGCTCTCTGTTATTTCTCTGCGCTAGAGGAGAGGAGGGGTGCCTTGGCGTATCACTGTTCATACGACTTGCAACCAGGTACATTATGAATATCACACTCGCCAGAAGCACGGTCAAGCCTAACGTTACCCTGCTAACCCTGGAAAATGTCGGCAGCATTTTCCTCCTGATTGTCGACATCATAACAACGAACCACTGGAGCCCCGGACCAAAAGGCAGCATCATCATGTTTCTCTGGCGTGAAGACCATTTTCGTCAAATTTCGAACAAGAACAATAATTTTGTAGGCCAGAGCTAGAGCTAGCAGAGCTAGACTATACTAGTCTAGTCTTGTAGTCTAGAGTGACACCTGCACCAATAAAACCCCCCAGAGTGTGCAACTCTGTATGTATGGATTATCCCATGTCATGAGTACGAGTACGAGGCCGAATTTTTTCACGAGTGCGTTAGCACGAGGGAAAGTATAAGGGACACTAATAGTAATACACAGAGTACGAATGGTATAATCCATTTATCCCATCAGTAGACTACACATTGTACTGTCGATGTCCCAAATATTGAAATAGAGCGTGACCAGCACTAAAATCTCCCTTATTGGCGTGACCCGGGGAATATTCGTGACCCCAGCGGGGTATATTGGTGACCCTGTGACCCCAGCGGGGTATATCGTCAATATACATGTACCCCCGCTCAGAACGGTCGCTGATTGGCTGAAATGGCCCAAATGGGTTTCGTACCATGGGATAAAATGGCCGATAATTTATGGGGTCTCCGTCGAGTAGGCATAGCCCGATTTTGCTAGCAATTCTGCTAGCAAAATATCGAAGAATTTTGGAAGGGAATTTGCTGGCAAAATGGAGCAAAATATCGGTGTGTTGGCTGGGAATTGGGAGATTTTACACATATACGGTGCACATGACTCATTTCGGCACAGTTTTACCAACACGTGACTCACTTTTTCTCATTTTTGCCAACACGTAACCCACTTTCGGTCAGTTTTCTCACACGTGACAGAAATTTTGGAGCAAAAAGGGAGCAAAATATCGAGTGGCCTGGCAAAATGAAAGCAAAATATCGACGATGAGCCAGCAAAATTTTGCGGCAAAATATCGAACCTTCCCTGGCAAAATCGGGCTTTGCCTACCGTCGAGTCAGCGAAAACTCACATAATCACGTGCACGTGTCTCAGATACAATCGTACTGAGCGGCATGTACTGTACTACCAAGAGTCTATAAACATTGGTACGAGGTGAATTGCTATAAATAGTTCTGGACATTGTACATTTCTGGACATTTCGAGTAAAATAATTTTTCGTCGCGTGTAGAGTCAAGTCAGTCAGGTTGATGAAGTTTTTTCTTGTTGTAGTTGACAGCTGGGCTGTTGTAGTTTCTCCTCGTGTCGGTGCCTTGTTGATAGCCTTTTCTTGGGAGGCATTTCAACGAGTTTTGTGGTACTATATCGCATGAGAATTTCGAATTTTGAGTAAAATAAGAAGTAATGGACGAATCGTTGGCTTCCCCATGTGCACTCCACTTCAGACGCTGTATAGTCTTGGACCTGTTGGCTGGAAGTGTGAAGAGGCCAACTGCAGTCCACCGATAGAAAAAATAACAAAAATGGTGCAGTATAGGATGCCTATTGACGCTATTTTACTTTCATGTCCAGAATTCCATACACTGAAATTTAGGCCAAACAATTGGCTTGTCGAAAACATCCTCCTACATGTATAAAGTCTCTGGGGTCACAGCATGAGCAATTGTCACATATTTGGAAAGATGAAGGATTAAGCCATACAATAGATACAAAAAGATATGAAAAATGTAAAACACACAGCCAGTGGGCCTCTATTTTATTTGCATGTCCAGAAATTGCTATTCACCTCGCACTACGTACAAACGAGCGTGCGCACAATCCGAATATCTGCTGATAAAAAAATTAATAATAATTATCTGCTGATCATGCTGCGCTAGCGCTAGCGCTGGGGATTTGCATACCCACAGTGAGTTTCTGTCAGAGATTGCTCTTTTTGTTACTCCGCTGCTCGCTAGAAACGGGCTGGAAACGACGTTACGAGTTTGGGTGGTCTAGAAAAGCCTCTTGTAATTGTACGGGCAAAACCCAAAATAGTTATTATGAGTATGTACATATGAAGCAAGCATTATTATTATTATTATTTATTAAATTTTTAATAGGGCATTCCCACAGGCCTAAGGCCTTCTTACGGGGTACCCTATATGTTTTTGTATAGATGAGCGGAAGTCTGATAGCGTGGAGCAAATACGAACAGAAACAGGGAGCGAATTCCAGCGATCTGCACCTAAGAAGCTTAATGCGTACAAGCCATAGCGGTTATTAGCCGGGGGAAGAGCAAGAGACAGAGTAACCTGCGAGCGGGTGATTGACGCTGTGTGTGTGGCATTGACTCTAGTCACAAAACAGTCTGTTAAGAGCGGGCTGCACACCTTATGTAATGATCTGTAAATAAGTACGAACAATTTGAATCTCAAACGTAAGGAGATAGAAGCTAGGTGGTATCTGGCTAGAATAGTAGAAATGTCACAGAACCTTGGATAACCAAAAACAGTTCTAACTGCACGGTTGCTGAGGCAAGTCAAGCGATCTTGTTGCCCAGCCTTGACTTGCCTTGACTGTGATAAAAAGCATTGGAACCGTACTCCAGTTGAGCCTGTATGAACGCGCAGTAGAAGGTTCTCTTTGCATCAATTGTTAGACGGTCACGGATTCTACGAAACACAGCTAGCTTGTCGCCTACCTTTCGCTCAAGGGCACTGATGTGGTCAGCGAATGTCAGGTGCTGGTCAAAGGTCATACCAAGGTACTTGACGGTGGTCGCTGGTGGAATTGAGACATTGTCAATGGTTAGTCGGAGGGAGGAGCATACTTTTTTCGATCTGGAGTGGAACACAATGAACTGGGTCTTGCTGGCATTCAGGATTAGTCCTCGTTCACTGAGGAAGTCCCTGATACGACACACATCTCGGGCCAGTTCTTCGGTAGTTTGTTGTAGGTTGCGGCCTGCTAGGTACAGGGCGACATCGTCAGCGTACTGGCGCACCATGCTGGAAGATGCTGCCGAGGGCAATTTGCGTACAGATAGGTTAAAGAGCACAGGTCCGAGGGTGGATCCCTGAGGAACTCCCCTGTGAGCTTCGTACAGTTCACCTCTGGACGTACGTGTTACCACTCGCTGCCGCCTGCCTCGTAGGTAGCTCGCAAACCATTGCAGGGCGCTATCTCCGACGCCGATCTCAAAAAGCTCCTGCAGGAGCATGTTGTGATTGACCGTGTCAAATGCTTTCGACATATCAAGAAACGCTGCCACCACAAATTTACCGGCATCCAGACTTTGCTGCCAGTCATTCGCCACCAAGGCTAGCAAGTCATCGCAGGAGTGTTGTCTTCTGTAGGCGAACTGTTCAGGCGGCAGTGCTTGGTTTGCTTGTGGAGCGTCACGCACGAATTCCATTAGCTGGTCAAGGGCGCAGCGTTCTAACAGCTTTGACATTTGCGGAAGGAGCGATATTGGCCTGTAATTAGTAGGATCGCTGTGATCACCTCGCTTATGTATTGGCCGAACGTTAGCCTGTTTGTACGGCGTTGGGAAAGTTCCAGATTGTAGTGAGTCTGAAAATAGCGGAGCGAGAACAGGGGCAATCCCGTCAGCTGCAGACTTGTAGATTGCTGCGGGTACGTTGTCGGGGCCGCACGCTTTACGGCAGTCCAACCGCTTTAGGTAGAATTCCACGAGGCTTGTCGGGATGCGCTCGAAAGTGCAAAAGTTGTGTTCAGGCATCGGACCTAGTGGCAGTGTAGTGTGCGTTGTAGCGGTTGGTGTAGTTGGCGAACCCGGTGATACTATTTCGGAGAATGTAGCTGTGATGGCTTTGACCTCTGCACCTGGTTCACGGTGGATCTTGATTCGACCAAGCAGAGTGTTTAGAACATTCCATTGGCCTCTGGGGTTCTTCCTATTGTAAATAAATTCGTTCTGAAAGAATGTGGCTTGCTTGCGACGCGTGAGAAGTTTGCATTGCCGCCGCAGTGTTCGGAAGTTCTGGACTAGTTGCGGGTCAGCTGGGTTCTTTCTCATTTTCCTGTGCGAACGCTTCCTCCTGAACAACAATTTCCGGAGCTCGTCATCTACCCAAGGGGCAGGTTTGTATTTGCCACGTAGTTTGACGGTTGTCATTGGACAGTGCTTGTCCAGGACCTCAGATACGTTGTGTTGGAATAGTTGAATTCGTTGGCATGTAGTAGTTGTGGTGTCAGTGGATGTGTCGAGCAATGCGGATGCCAGTTGGTCTCTAAAGGTACTCATATCAATCGATCTAATGGGCGGCTTTCTTGTCTGGACCCACTGCTCCTTTGGGAGGGAACGTAGGGTTACTGTCATGTCAACTAGGACAAGCTGGTGGTCCGATGCATCGCATGGCTCGATTGTGCAGCTGTTCACGGTGAAGTGTCTACCTTGTGTGGCCTGAGATAGGTGGGTGTTGTCGAATGTCTTGGGTACTAGTACTAGGTCTAAGATGGATTCAGTAGGAAGTCTAGTCGGCGATATCACTATGTTACGGAGACTGGTTGTGTGGCAGAATGTCTGCAGGTGCTTGTGGTGAGGATGCTGAGTGTCTCGTATGTTCACATTGAAGTCACCAAGAACAATGGTGTGGGACGATTTTGGTGTCTGTGCTGCGATGTCATCAACAGTGTTGGTGAGTTGTTGCCAAAACGACACTGGTGTTGAGGGTGGTCGATATGTACAGATGATATTCAGTGGATTTCCATCCAACCGCAGGTGAATTGCTGCAGTTTCAATGTCAAATATTGTTCTTAGTTGACGGTACTTAAACTTATTTCTGATGTACAAGCAAACGCCGCCTCCTTTTTTGCTTGTCCTGTCAAATCTGTGGACGTCGTAGCCTGGTAGAAAGATGGCACTGTTTGTCGAGGTGGCTGTCAGCCATGTCTCCGTAACAGCAAGGATATCAATGTTGTGTTTGTGCAGAAGATAGTGAATGTCCCTAAGCTTATTCAATAGGCTGCAGATATTAATATGTGCTATAGTAAGATTAAAGAGTAATAATGTATTGCATGCATTTGAATGAGTGATACTTATCTGTGGCGTAGAGGTAGAGATGCTCTGGGGAGTGCTGCATGCGTTGGTGACAATAGTATTCTGTGCGGGGACTCGTCATTGTGCAGGCTTGTCCTGAAGTAACCTCGCCAATTCAGCGTCATCCAGTGGTTTCCCTTGTACCAATATTTTGTCGTAGGGAAGGGAACAAGCAGTGCCAAGCCCTCGCAATTGTTTAAATGTGG